ATCTTTGGGCTAGTAAAATAGGTCAAAGCCCAATTTGATAGATCTTATAAGGTCACACAAATGGCCTAGACGAGCATTAGATAATGAGGACTGTACATCACTCTAGGTTGCCAACCATAGGAGTGGGTTTGGAGGGTTTTGGGCTTCGTAACCTAGTCCAATTATAATATGATTATATATAAACTAGGTGCCTAGGGTAGAACATAACAATTCATGATCAGTTGAATCAAACCCCTAATTAGTGAACATGAAACCAACCCATCTCAAACTCTTTCTCTCTATCTCTCTCTCTCTCTCTCTCTCTCTCTCTCTCTCTCTCTCTCTCTCTCTCTCTCTCTCTCTCTCTCTCTCTCTCTCTGCTCTCTCCTTCTCCTCGATGCCAGTGGTGGTTCATGCGTTGGTCGGTTGTGCGTTAAAGGTGGTGATCATGGTTTTCCCCTTCACTCGACCAATCTAGTGTTGGTGTACGGCTAGTTCAAATCCCGCGAACTAAGTAGAGGAGCAACACTTAGGGCTCTATTCTCTCCCAAATTTGCCGATCAAATAAATTCATGGAGATCACGCTTCAAAGGTATGATTATATGTCTTGTGTGTTATGCATGCGATCTTGGTTTAGGTGCTTATGAATATGATTCGTGAAATTATGATTTTTGTACCTATAAACTCCTACAGATTCAACAAGCAAGTCGCATCAATGGCGCACTAGAGACTCCAGAAAGATTAGAATTTTCAAATTTTGATTGTAATTCTTGTAAATTGACGATGTCGTCGACAGCTTAAGTTGGGGGGATGTTTAGATGCTTTTCTAGAGTTTACTTCACGTTTTCTAGACCTTAGGTCCTATTATTATGTTACTGTCAATTCAGTGTTCATTAGGGATTCTATGCATGTACTACTTTAAGCTCTTTAGATGGTGAATGATTCAATAAAATCTTAAGTCTTCTACCAATTGTTGTCTTATTTTTATGCTTGTTTGTTGTTAATACTTTTATAAATATTGTGTCTTACTTGCATAATTGCTCCTCTCCACACTAACTTGATACACTAAGAACTCTTTGTTCGAACTCGCTTGTGTCCGCCTTGAAGTATCAGCCGTCACAAGCCCCGACCACCTACACTCCGTCGCCCAAATAAACATGAGTGCTCCTAAGATTTAATTACCCACTTGTGTTGCCTCATGCTCACAATCCCAACTTCCGTACGAGGGTAGCATTCTTTCCGCCAAAAGACTAGAGCGTGCCACACGTTTCGGTGCCCAAAATCTTGCACCGTAACACTTTGGCAGAAGTGTTATTCTTACCTCTAAAAGGCTAGAGCGCACCACACGTTCCGGTGCCCAAAATCTCGCACCGTAACACTGTGGCAAAAGTGTTTACAAGGGTGGCCTTCCCAGTTTGCTTACTGGGTGACACCTGAGTTTGCACATAAAATAAAGACTTTCCAACCCGTACATAAGTCCAGCCAAGACTGTTCTACTAACCAAGTGTAGTTGCCTTAATAGAAATGTTTTCCCGAGGATCAAAGATGGAATCTTTTGGCCTTTTGATCTCAGACTATTTTCTACGGACTAATAGAGATTACACATCATGAAAGTATAATCTCAGATTGTTATGTAAATGTATCCTTGTACCGTTGTACAATGTGCATGTCAGTAAGATTTATTTGATAATACAGATTAGGGGTGTTCAAAAAAACCCGACGCGATTGTCCCGACCCGATTTCCCGATGACCCGGTAAATACCTGATGGGAAATTTGGGGAAAAAATAATTTCGGGACGAGTACCCGACCCGAAAAAATTGCTTATTATCCGGGTCGGGACATGGTCCGCATTTCTAATTAGGGGGTACCCGGCGGATTACCCGATATCTTTTTGAAAAAAAAAAAGAAAAAAAAAACCCTCCCTTAAACTAAGCCCAACCCATTTAAAGCAATATAATCAGAAACCCTAGTTTGGGTTCTTTCTCTCTCACGCCTTTCCCTAAATCCCTTGCCTCTCTCTCTCTCTCTCTCTCTCTCTCTCTCTTCTTGCATCTCTCTCATTCCCTGTCTCCTCTCTCTCGATCTCTTCCTACCTTTTTTCTTGCATCTACCTTCCTTCTTCCTACCTTTTTTCTTGCATCTACCTTCCTTTAATTGAGTTCCTTCATCGACGGGAATCGTGTTCTACCATTTGAAGGGAGTGATAATATTGTTGCCAAAAATTGTTAATTGAGGGGTTCAAGACGGTGGTTTTCCGGCGAGAGGATGGGGTTTATGCAGCCATGTACGACGGTGAAGAAGAAAAGAGGAGGGGGTTTATACAGCCATGTTCGTCGGCTTCTATTTCTAATTCTTCCTTTCCTCTTTAGTTTCCAATTTCATTAAATTCACAACCCCTTTTATTTGTTTATTTTTCGCATCAAAGATTCAATCTTTAAGCTGTTAATTCCATGGATTTTTTTTTTCTACATTTTTCCCAGAAATTGTAAATTTAATTTTGGATTTTGCATTGTTTTTTTTTTTTGTTACTTCCTCCGTTTTTTTATTATTGCACCACTTACCTTTTAAGGAAGTTTCACATTTATTGCACGATATCCATTTTAGGAAAAGAAATTTATGTGTTCACACTATAAATACCTAATATACCTTGCTTTTCAACCCTTACTTTTATTTTGTGCATACAATCACATGGGCATCGCAACTTGGTATTTCTACCTTTCTCTCTCATCCTTTTTTCCACTATCAAAAAATTTGTGTCAAACCCTTATGGTGCAGTAATAAAAGAACGGAGGAAGTATTTTTAATGATGTTATGCTTGTGAAATGGGAAATAAATAGTTATAATTTGTGTTTACCTAACAAAAAAATTAAATTACAGCAAGTATACATAACTAAAATTAATACAAGTATAATGTTATTTTTTAAAAAAAAAGAAAAAAAAAAGAAATAAATCCGAGTACCCTATGTCCCGACCCGAATAATTCGGGTACCCGGAACCCGAGTACCGAGATATTCGGGTCGGTACATGGGACGAATTCACAACTACCCGAAACCCGGGTACCCGGATTTGAACACCCCTAATACTGATGATCATCACAAGTAAAAATAATCATTCTTTGAATAATTTGATTACTTGATTAATTAAGGTGTTCAATACAAATCAAGACAAATGTTTTAAGAAAAAATTGTGCGTGATCATACATGGAAATCCCAAATAATATGTTACCAGGAACCACGCCAGTAAAAGAGTGAGCAATCCCTTTTGCATGCACCCGGTGTACAGTATTTAATACCTCAAAATCAAAAAAAACGCAGAACAACAATGGAGGAGAGAGAAAGTGAGAAAACGCAGCTCTCGATCATCAATTGAGGAGAGAGAAAGTGAGAAAACGCAAAAATTGCATAAATCGATCATCAATTGAGAAGAAAAAAGGTGAAAAACGCACAAAATCAAAAATCCGATCATCAATTAAGGACAAAGAAAGTGAGAAAACTTACAAATTGCAGTATTCGATCATCAGTTGAGGAGAGAGAAAGTGAGAAAATGCACAAATTGGAGAATTCGATCATCAATGGAGAATTCGACTTTCGATACCACAAATTGTAGCAATCTCATCCACGAATTGCTACAAAAACAGAGGCAAATTGAAACTAAATTTGAAATCGATTTAAATCGATCCATTATAGAAGAAGAAGAAAATAAGAGTTTTGGAGATGAATTCGTACCAATATTCAACAATCCAAACAATGGAGACGATGCAGAAGAAGCAATTAACAATGCATAAGAAGCAATTGAGAATGCAGAATAAGCAATTGAGAATGCAGAAAATCAAGTGGTTCCTTACAAATCAATTGATTCAAATTCAGAACAAACAACCAAATCAAATGCAACTGAATGTAATTTCTATAAACTTTTCATATTATATGCAAAAAGTAACCCTTTGTATTCCTTAAAGTTACCCTTTTCATGCATAAAAGTGACCCTATTTATGCACAATTGTTACCCTAAGATTGTATGCAGAAAATTAAGATTGTATGCAAAAAGTAACCCTTTGTATGCCTTAAAGTTACCCTTTTCATGCATAAAAGTGACCCTATTTATTCACAAATGTTACCCTAAGATTGTATGCAGAAAATTCAGATTGTTTGCAAAAAGTAACCCTTTATATGCCTTAATGTTACCCTTTTCATGCATAAAAGTGACCCTATTTTCGAACAAATGTTACCCTTTTGTTGCCTCCAATTTGAATGATATGCTGCCTCTAGTTATAATCTGATATTTTTTATTAAATCACATATACAAATCCAATTTATGCTTCTGGTTTAGATCTTAGAGATTCATTTCTTCGTGTGGTAAGAGGAACTTTTGAAGAAATTTTGGAATTGTATGAAAAACATGCTGCCATATTGGGGTTTTCAATAAGAAAGCATACAACTAGATACAAGACACACACAAAAATAGTAACTGAGAAAAATTATGTGTGTTCTGCTGAAGGAAAGAGAAATTCAGGTGACAAGAAAACAAAGTTAGTTGAAATGGTTGATGAAGAGGATGTGAATGTAAAACAAGAAAGCCAAGACAAGTAGCCATTACAAGATCAAATTGCAAGGCATGCATAAGAGCAAAAGTGAATAAAGAAGGACAGTTTGAGGTAGTGGCTCATGTTATTCAGCATGACCATGAGCTAACAAGGTCACAGTGGCATTATTTGCATCGTTCTGAAAGAAAAATGATAGAAGAAAAAGCTGAAGCAATAAAAACAATGAAATCTTCAGGTCTAACTACAATGGACACTTACAATTACATGGCTACAGAGGCTGGAGGAGAACATAATGTAGGTCATAGTGATGTAGATCACCTGAATTTCTGCTGAAGGTTAAGAATGGAACAAATTGAGGCTGGAGATGCTCAAAATTTAATGAACATTTTAAATCAGGAACAATCAGAGGATCCAAACTTCTTTTTTAGAGTGAAGTTTGACAAGGAAGGAAGAATTTTCAATATCTTTTGGTGAGATTCAATGATTCTAGAAGACTATAGGATATATGGAGATGTGCTTGTATTTGATACAACATACAGAACCAACAGATATAATATTATATGTGCTCCATTTGTTGGAATAAATAATCACTGGCATAATTTTATGTTTGCATGTGCTTTTATTGGGGATGAAAAAACAGATTCATGTATGTGGCTACTAGAAACCTTCTTGAAAGCTATGGAGAATAGAACACCAACTTCAATGTTCACTAATCAAGACCAAGAAATGGAAAATGCAATTGAGCAGGTAAAAGATTTATATTGACATTTTACAGAATTTAAACTCTGACAATAATTTTTTCCTTTTTCCCATAAAATTACCCTTTTAACTGCATAAAGTTACCCTTTTAACTACATAAAGTGACCCTTTTAACAGCATAAAGTGACCCCTTTATTTGCATTGTAGGTGCTTCCTAATACAAGGCATAGACTTTGTATATGGCATTTGGAACAAAATGCCATAACCAGATTTGGAGCTCTTAAAAAAGACAAAGAATCAAGTATGCATTCAACCAGTGCTTAAAGATGTGTGTGACAGAACAAGAATTTGAAGCAAAATGGCAGGCAATGATGCATAAATATGAATTGATAGCACACTCATGGTACCAAAGAGTGTACGAGTTGAAAGAGAAATGGTGTCCTGCCCTTAGTAGAGATTTCTTTTCAGCAGGAATCTTATCGTCACAAAGGAGTGAAAGCACTAATCATGCAATAGGATTCAGAGCAAGCAAATAAACTAATTTGACAGAATTTTATACCATATTTAAGAAGACAACCAATCGTTGGAGAAGCACAGAGAAATATGATGAGTTTACATGTAGCAAGTCAATAGCATTCACTTCATTGCCACTATCTGGAATGCTAAAGCATGCTGCACAGGTAAAAATTTAACTGATAAGTACATAAATTACACATAAATTATAGCAGTTTAAATGTAGCTAAATGATTTTGGTGAACAGGTTTTTACTTTGTCACTCTTTAGAGATTTTGAAGAGGAGTTTGGATACTCTATGGCAACAATTGTTCAAATGATAGGAAGAAATGAAGAATGTCTACTTTATCAGGTAGCCCTGGAAGACAAGCCATGGTCTGCACATCAAGTAAACTATATACATGAGAGCCAGAATGTATGGTGTACTTGCAAAAATTTTGAAGCATCTGGATGGTTATGTTATCATTGCATCAGAATTCTACACTTGCATTCAGTAACAAGAATACCAGACAAGTATGTTTCAAAAAGATGGACTAATTTTGCAAAAACAGAGGCATGGGATAGGTTGAAGAATCAGGATCCTACACAACAATATATTCCATGGAGACAAACAATGATACGGAAATTCTACAATCTAATCTTAAAGAGTCAAGAAAATGAAGAAACAAGAGAATTTATGGAAGACAACTTCAAAAACAGTCTTAAAATGGTGGAAGACTTACTTACTAGTGCTGCTCAAAGAGAAAGTGCAGAAGCTGCTTCTAATATTCCTGATGTGGCAGACAGCAATCACAGCAATAATGATGTTTCTTTGGCATCGAGTACAAGCACAAGTGTACCCACAATACTTGATCCAAAAAGGGCTGTAACAAAACGAAGAAGCAAGAGAGCAAAAGGAGGTCTTGAAAAAAGCAAGAGAAAAAGAAAATCAGCACTGCCACCTCCGCATTCAGAATTTGGATCTAAAACACCTAATTTGAGACTCTTTTAGGAACTTTTTTAGATCATTTTTTTTCAAAATTAATGTACTTTGTATTCTAAAACTATATATATATTTTTTTACAATATGAAAATGTGATTGACACTATTATTAGCATTTCTTTATTTAGTTAAACGTTTTAATCAAGATCAGAGAATCCAAACTACAAAAGTGACCTTTTTAACAAAAAAAAATGAACCTTTTCCAAGCAAACAGTGACCCTTTTAACAGAAAAAAGTGACCTTTTTAACAGAAATAGTGACCCTTTTCACATAATAAAGTTACCATTTACATAAAATTGACTCTTTTTATACATAAAAGTGACCCTTTTCATAAATAGAAGTGATCCTTTTTCTACATAAAAGTGACTCTTTTCATAGCTAAAGTTACCCTTTCTAACAATTAAATCTACCTTTTTCTTACTTAAAAGTTATCCTTTTTATAAATAAAAGTTACCCTTTTTATACATAAAAGTTACCCTGTGTACTCACAATATTATCCCTTATCATGTATAAAGTTATTCTTTCTACCCACAGAAGTAACCCTTTTTATGCTACAAGTTCACCATTTTATGCAAAAAAGTGACCCCATAAAAAACATAAAAATAAACCTTTTAATTACTTTATGTATGCACATATATCAGTATTCCAAAAAAACAACCAAAAACTTTACACTAAGTTTAATTACATCATTGAACTTAACGTATGCACATACATTAAGTTTTTTCATTGTTCAAAAAAAAAACCCTGACCTAATCAGCTAATAATTATCAATTATTTCACTATTTAGAAGGAGTATACTTTTTTGCCTGCTTTTTTGCCCTTTTTCCTTTGGTCTTTTCTTCTTCTGCCTTTGCTGCTGCTTCTGCTGCCATTTTTCTTTATTCTGTTTGTTTCTTCTTCTTCTCAGCAATTGCAGCCTTTAATCTTTCTTCAACTCCATTGACATAAGCAGGATCTTTCTTCTTCTCGTTGAACTTGAGTAATTCTGACAACACATCATTCCTAGATTCATTCAAATCACACAGCACCAGTGTGGTTCAGATCTCTCCTTGTAGAAATTTCCTTCCAATAATCTCACAACAGGAAAAAAATTATCAATATGTAATTAATAAAAGCATTAGAAAGGAAAAAACTACAGAAACTATATAGATAATTACTGTTTTGAGTTCATTTAATTTGAACGATTCGCCAACAAAATGAAGCATGTGATACATGACAAAGACCCCACAGTCCAAATTGTCAACTTTATCTTTTCTCCATTCCAACCCAACAACTTCAAACCCATAAGAAGGTAGCTGAGAACTCTTTGGATGATTTTTTTTGCCAAGAAAAGCACCCATTTGAACACACTAACATAAAATATAAAAGTTTAGAATACATTAAAATAAAAAAAGTTAAATTGGAAACAATGAATCAACATAAACATAACAAAAAAATAAACACAAACATACCATGTGTGAACACAATTCTTTTGTTTAATGAACAGTAGAATCCAACCAGATAACGTTATCAAGATAATATACCAACTCTTTTGTATGATCAATAACAAACAAAATGTAGTGATTCTCAATAACAATAGGAAAATAGATCAGAAACAGCAAAATTAAAAGAGATTTACACAGAGCATATCATAAACAGAACTCTTTAAAAGTTAAGACATTATGTTTAGCATAAATATACCAGATCAGCATCAATTATATCACATTCTGGATTCTCATAGCTCACCCAACCTTCCCATAGATCGTGCAAATCCTTAACAGCACTAGAAATGTTACCTTCGCCAATATTGTCACAAACATGCAAGAATGCAAACTATTAAAGTATAAGATCTCAATAATATATATATATAAAGTAAATGTGATAAAAAAAAATAACTTACACTTTGCCTCACACCAAAGAAGAATTTTTTAGGATCAGTAGCCTCAAAACATGCTTTCTCATTAAAATACAGACAGTAGCAATCAATAATGCACCATCGAATCCTGAGTGGAGCAACAAGGGACACCATGTCTTCTCTTGGAATTAAAAAATTCATTCCAAAAGTAACAAGGCTCTCACTGAAACAATAAAATATAAGATCAGCATTAAAAAAAAAATATATATATATATATATATATATATGAAAAAAAAACAGATAAAAAATAATTATCATAAAAAATGACACTTAACTTCCTATTCATTAAAACATCCTTCATCAAACAATAGTCAAGAACATCCAAATGTAACTGAGGCAAATTCCTGAAAATTCGAGCATTGGCCTTCAAAAACTGAGTTACAAAAGGCACCCGCACACCTACTGGTCCAGAGCATAGAGATTTATTTGCTCTGATGATACGTCCAGCGGGTTCATTTTGATCAATATGCCCAACAGGAATATTTTCAGTAGGACTAGGATTGATACCAGAAGGTTCAAAACCATTGTCATCATCCTTAGGAATATCTTCTTTGAAACCTTGTGCAGGTTCTTTTTCAGGAACAACATCTTTATTACCTTCTGTAGGTTCATAAAAACCACGAAACAAATCATGTACAGACTTCATTTTATTACACTCATCAATTAAACCATCTAAAATCTTGGATCAGAGAGTAGTTGTTCAGTTTGAGAAACTGAAACGGAATCATCAGAAGATAATGAAACACTTCTGCGAGAAGTAATCAGATCATTCAAGGTTTGAAAACCATTGACTGAACAAATAATAAAACATCCATATTTCTTTTAAAAAAAAGAAATGTTTCATGAACAACCTACAAACATATGAACAAAGAAAAATAAATAAATGTTACAAATAAAAATAATAAAATAAGTAAAAATTCAAAATATATGCTTAAAATGACCCTTTTAAATGCATAAAGTGACCCTTTTAAATGCATAAAGTTACCCTTTTATATGCATAAAGTAACCCTTTTAACTAAATATTTAGGATAACTTTAATGCATATAAAGGGTAACTCTGGTGCAAATAAAGGGTAACTTTTGTACACAAAAAGGGTAATTTTTGTGCACATAAAGCAATAATAACTAAACATATGAAAAACAGAACACTTACATCAGTTGAAATTTCTTTAATTTCTTCATCGGTCATAATACCTTCTGGAAGCTCAAATGCAACAATGCGGCCAGTGGTACCACTTGTAGAAGCACCCTTATCATAACCCAAAGTAGGAGCTGGCTTAAAAACAGTTTCCTTAAAATTAAGTTGTGACACAGGATATGTAAAAGTATCCAACGGTCCCTGCCCATAACCACCAGCTTTGATCTCTAACTTAATCCGCTTCTTAATCTTTACATCCGTCCAATGTTGAATCAAGGAAGAGTACTACTTTCCTTTTCACCTTGAAAATTTAAACGATGAAAATACATAATTTGCAAAGCCAGCAAACAACCACTAACATTTTGAGCAGTTTCATCATTCTTATACTTCTTAACAGCCTTCTTTAACTTTTCAAAACATATGAACATCAATCGAAAGTTTTAATTTCATCAACTTTTTCAACAGCTTTCAGCAATTTTAATGAAACAACCCTATTAGTAGTAGGAGCTAAAAAGCTAGACATAGCTTGAAGAACAAAACACCTCTTAAATTCTTCCCCTCCATCAACCAAATCAACCATCCGAGACTCCAATTTTGACAAATGAAGAGGTTGCTTACCAGAAAGACCATAATCAGATCTCCATGCCTGAATGATACGTTTATCTACACTTTCATCTTCAGAATTTTTATTAAGTTCAGGAACGCAAATATCACTCAAAGGCAAGCAAAACACATCGCATATATTGAACCAAACTTCTTCGTTCCCTAAATAATAAAAAAAAATGTAACTGAAACAATATAAACTAAAAACAAAATATAATTAAAAAATGTAAAAAAAAAAAAAAAAAAAAAAAAAAAAAAACTATGTACGCTTACACAAAAGAATCAGAAAGCATTTCATAATAAGAATCTTCCACTGTTTTAGCTTTCTTAGGTACAATTTTGGCCTTCTTAGGAACTATTTTGGCCTTCTCAGACTCTGGTTTGTGATTCTTAGAAATAATTAAGCCCTTCTCAAGAATTGTCACGGCCTTTTTAGGTACTGCTTTGCTCTTCTCAGGAACTATCTGGGTCTTTTTGGTACTGCTTTACCCTTAGCAGGCTCTTTACGCTTTCCTTTTCCTTTTGTAGGCATTTTATAACGATATCCACCTATTGAACCACATGTATCTAATTATTACAGAGAAATAACAAAAAATTACAAATTTAGAAATTACTCATTTAGAAATTACTCATGGAAAAATTTAGAATAATATGCATAAAGTGACCCTTTTAAATGCATAAAGTGACCCTTTTAACAGCACATAGTGACCCTTTTAACAGCACAAATTGACCCTTTTAAAAACATAAGGTGACCCTTTTAACAAAACAAAGTGAACCTTTTAACAACACAAAGTGACCCTTTTAACTGCAAAAAGTGACCCTTTTAACAGCATAAAGTGACCCTTTTAACAGCATAAAGTGACCATTTTAAACACAACAAGTAACCCTTTTAACTGAAAAGGTTACCCATGTGACAACATACAGTGACCTTTTTAATATCATAAAGTGAACATTGTCAAAGCACATAAATGACACAAATGTCTATTACTCAAACACAATGAACAATGCACATATGCAAGTTAATCAAACACAGATGCACAAACACAATGCACATATGCCTATTATACTCATACTCAAACCAAAATATAAAACCAAAACCTAAAATCAGTTTAATAAGCATTCTCTGCTAAAAACCTAACATGCCAAATTAAAAGAATAATAAACCATGATAAAAAAAAAATTCTGAAAATAAACATGAAAAATAGGTATAACATAAACAACACAACACATATATAACAAATTTTTAACAAATTATAAACAATAAACAAACAAATAAAGCAAAATTAAACATATTAACTTCAAAATTCAAATTCAATTATCAAAATCTGCATGAAAAATCAAGTAAAATTATAAAAATAACATGCACTACTTATTCA